GGTCTAGCAGGACAAGCACAGAGATGAGTCCACTGTCAGAGGCCATAAGAAGATCATTTGTAACCTTCACTAAAGCTGTTTCTGTGCTGTGATGAGCTCTGAAACCTGACTGAAACTCTTCAAATAAACCATTCCTCTGCCGATGATCTGTTAGCTGTTTGACAACTACTCTTTCAAGGATTTTTGATATGAAAGGAAGGGCTCTGATTATCTTCATGCCCTGTTGCTATTTGATCTTAGCAAATCTCCTCATGATAGTATTTAATGTTAGTTCTAGTCTTATTGAACACAGCATAAAAAGAAGAAATGATGCTTTCCTTCCAGTCAAAATGGTTGGTATAATCCATGATACCCAGCCTAGCGGTTGATGGACAGGTCATTATGGAGTGCAGTGACCTTTGGTTTCTCAGTCAGACCCACATTTAGCTCATAACAGCTGGTTTCAGAAAACCAAGATGGTAACATTCAAAGTACTGAGCATGACGTCACAGTGGCTGGATCCATATTTTCTATATAATCTATGGTTTCAAGCTAGTGATTTACACTAATGTGCTGGAGCTGTCCTTCATTTCTTTACGTTCTGCTCAGAAAATGGGAAATACACAGAGAGATTTATTGAAATATGTAAACATAACAAACACAGTTTGTACAATTCCAATAATGTTGGAACTCCATATTCGTATGACCGTCTTTATTCTTGAACAGTCTGAACTGTCTCAGGCAGCTTTGTTTAAGTGTTCTTCAGGAATATCTCTCCAGGCTGTTTGGATGATATTCAAACCTCTTGTTTGGATGTCGGCTGCCTTTTGTTCTGTGCTGTGTTGATGATCTCGATAATGTTGGGGTCTGGGCTCTGGGGAGGCCACACCGATAGTGTGCACTGCGTGTTTGTCTATCCAGGTATGGCTTTACTGCGCTGCTACTGTGTTTGGATTCATTACCATGGTAAAAAATGAGGCAGTTGTCAATCAGATGCTTTCCAGATGGTATTACATGTGGTCATAAGCCCAGCCTCAGGAGGTTGCAAGCTAGTGTACACTTAGTGCCAGCCAAGACTGGATAATGGAAGGGTTGCATCAGGAACTACATCTGGCATCATATCTGTGCCAAATCAAACATGTAGCTGCACCCACTGCAGGGATTTAACTTCCCAGAACATTTTTTTAATGTATTTAATGTAGTTTAAAACAAAGCATTCATCTCGTGGCACTGCTGATGACAACTGTATGGTATTAGAGAGAAGCCCAGCAATCCCCTGTAATCAAGCACTTTGCAACTGTGGGGAGGAAGAACTCTGTTTTAATTGGCATATTCAGGCTCAGTGATGGCAGCCATCTGCTATGGCAGGTCTGGTGTTGAGGATAAACAGAAGAAGATCACAGACTCTACAAACAGCTTTGTTTTACACATGGAGACGTGAGTCCCAGAGCGCAGTTTAAAATACTGTTTGAATGGACTTTAAACATTTAACGTCATTACTTTATGAGTTACTTATTAGTATGTTATCTGCTGTTAATCAGCAGCGTTTCAAGTATCAGGTCAGTATATTTGGGTGTATTTTATGGCACAAGAGGTTCAATTAAGCTCTCACACTTGACATCTAAATGGTACTCTGTCTGAGTTCAGCACATAAATGCTTTAATGAACAGGTGGCATGCTGTTAGATTTAGATATGGTTCCTGCCTCAGTGCGGCTTCTACACGTACAGATTCAAGTCAAAGCTACATATTGACCGTAGTGGGGTTTCCCTGAAACATCACTACGATCCTGACTTCATCATGGCTCCACAGCTGTCTCTCTGACACATCCATGCTAGATGGAAATGCAGAAACTGCCCCACTGCGAGACACAGTGGGGCAGTTTCTGTTTTTATTGTTTATCATTTGTTTTTCAATCCCAGGGGGTCTTGGATTATCCCACACCATTTATGCACGACTGAATGAGATCATCGCCTTAGACGGCTCCATCGCCGTCACACTGGCTGCTCATCAAGCCATTGGACTGAAGGTAAAAATACAATACTCTTACGGAGTTGTGTCTGCAATGTGGACAATCTGGAGGATTTGCTAACACATTTGTGGGCTCTCAGGGGATCCTGATAGCAGGCAATGAAGCCCAGAAGAAAAAGTATCTGCCCAAGCTGTCCTCAGGGGAGCACATCGCAGCTTTCTGTCTGACAGAGCCCGGAAGGTAAAGAACACCATGCACATGTCATCCGTTCTCCTCTGTGGCTCCAACTCTGCTCATACAGCAGTGAAGCACAGCCACAAATAGCAGGTTATCTCTACACCCACTGGCCACTTCATTAGGTACACCTGTTGAACTACTTATTAGAACAAATATCTGATCGTCCAATCACAAGGCAGCAACTCAATATCCGTCATTTAGGCATATAAGCTCGTTCAAACCCAGCATCAGAGTGGGGAAGAAGGGTGGTTTTAGTGGCTTTGAATGTGGCCTGGTTCTTGTATCTCAGAAACTACTAGGATTGTCTCATACAGCCATCTGTAGGGTTTAGTCAGAAAAAGAGAAACTATCCAGTGAGTGACAGCTGTCTGCGGAGAGTCGCCAAACTGCTGTGAGCTAAAAGGAAGGCAACAGTAACTCAAACAAACACTCACTATGCAGAAGAACATAGCTCTACGAACCCTCTATGAACACACAACATTTTGAACCTTGAAGCAGATGTGGTACAGCAGCAGAAAACCAGTGCGTCCCTCCTGTGAGCTAAGAAACAGAAAGCTGAAGCTACATTTCACACAGGTTTAACAAAGCTGGACAGGACAAGACTGGTAAAACATCTGAGGTAGGCGGTGTGGCCCCTTTATTTTTGAATAAGATAACCTGAGAACGAGGTGACGTAGGTACAGCTACTGAAAATCTCAGACAAGCAGTGATCCTGGTGATCTGGACCTCAAAATCAGATGTCAGCTTACCTAAAAATCACATTTATTCTACATTTGCATCTACTAGGGGGCTGTGGGGTAGCCTGGCAACTGCCAGTAGTCTCCCAGTATGAAAACAGTCAGTGTGCGTCAGGCTCCATCCAGGTAACTGGCTGCAGTTTCCATTTTAAACCCAGCAACCTGAAAATAAGCGTCTCAGCTGATTGTATCTGCAGGTTCATTCTCAGTCACTGCTCAGCGTTAACGCCCACAGGGCGCCAAACGGTGGTTAAAGATGACAGTTACAGGATACAGGACACTGAATCCTGTAACCATGATTACAGCCTAAATCTTAATCAGGATATTATTTAATCAAGATAAAGACTGATGTCACAGATGTTGCATCACTATAGAAATACTATGTATTTATAGAGACCATTAGCTGTTTGGATTGGACTCCACAGAAACACCCACAGAACCCGTGTTCCCACTTTTCCTTCCTCTGGTTAGTACTTGGTGATAAAGGCTCATTGTGTTGTTTGCTTGAAGTGAACTAAACAGTGAGGTTGTTTTCAAATCACTGCGAGCCAAAGTCATCATTGAAAACCCAATTAGATGCATCAGCCAGCGTTAACATCTACGCCATGTGCCTGAGCGTGTAGCTGTCTTTGCTCCACTGACACTCAGCCCGTCCGTTACAGTGGCAGTGATGCAGCCTCCATTCAGACCCGTGCAACCCTGTCTGAAGATGGAAAACATTACCTGATCAACGGCTCCAAGGTGAGAGGAACCGTTTCCACCAAGTTTTAATCCAGACTTCAACTCAGCCTCTGACTGAAGCTCCTGACTTGAATCATGTTGTCAGATCTGGATTTCAAACGGAGGCATGGCGGACATCATGACCGTGTTCGCCAGGACTGAGGTGGAAGTAGATGGTGTAAAGAAAGACAAGATATCTGCATTCATCGTGGAGAGGGCTTTTGGAGGGATCGCCAGCGGCAAGCCTGAGGACAAACTGGGCATCAGGGGATCCAACAGTAAGCCTTTCATCAACACTTAAAGGCAGTTTGATAGACGCCGAGCCATTTTCATGTCATTTATGTTTCAACGCTGTAACCTTTCAGCCTGTGAGCTGTCCTTCGATAATGTCCCAGTACCAGTAGAGAACGTGATCGGAGAAATTGGAGGTGGATTTAAGGTAAGCTCTGAAGCCAGCTTCATCTGTCTACACAACGGAGATTCTGTAATATTTGTAAACATGTGCTGCGTGTCGGACAGATCGCCATGAACATCCTGAACTCGGGGAGGTTCAGTATGGGCAGCTCCTGTGCTGGAATGATTAAAAAGCTGATCGGTGAGCACTCAGCTGTTGTTTTAATTGGGTAGCAGTTGTGAGTGTTTTAAGTTTATTAAGTCTGGCTTCTCTGTCTGGCCTTCTGTAGAGCTGACATCTGAGTATGCCGCTACCAGGAAGCAGTTTAACAAAAGCCTGAGTGAGTTTGGTATGATCCAGGTATGCTCTCCCCTCACTTGGAAGCTTGTGACACCTTCCAGTCTGATCAGAAGTGACTAAATATTGTGATTTCTATGCTTTCTGTAGGAGAAGTTTGCAATGATGGCTCTCAATGCCTTCGTGATGGAGAGCATGGCATACCTGACAGCAGGGATGATGGACAGACCGGGCGTTCCAGACTGTTCTCTGGAGGCAGCCATGGTCAAGGTACCACTTGCTGTCTTTGTTCAGGTGAAACTTTTATGAAACTACTCACTGTGTGTTCCTCATCTTCGGTACAGGTGTTCAGCTCGGAGGGAGGCTGGATTTGTGTGAGCGAGGCTCTTCAGGTGCTCGGAGGTCTGGGTTATACCAAGAACTATCCCTTTGAGCGCTTCGTCAGGGACTGCCGCATCCTGCCCATCTTTGAGGTACTCATACATAAGTGTTTAAACTCTGAGGGCTAGATATAGTCTTGGTTTGTGTTAGAGTGAAACCGTATGTATTTGTTTCCTTTTAAAAAAACTAATCTTGCCTGCCCTTCAGCTTTTTGCCCAGCCATAGTTAGGATGAACTCTGTGCCCCCCTCACCTCTCCATGACACACATCAAAAAACTGTTAACAGTTCATTTGTTAAACCTTGTCTTCCAAACTGTAATGCTGCCGCTACACTGTATCAAATCCCAGTATTTTTCTGGTCTTTGGGAATTTGAATCTTCTGCTTAACCTTGTCAGGGTCGCTGGAGCCGATCCCAGCTGTCCCAGCTGAGGCAGGGTACACCCTGGACAGGTCACCAGTCTGTTACAGGGCTAACAACACATAGAGACAAACAAACATTCGCACCTATTATCCTAACCCCACTAACTGCATGTCTTTGGACTGTGGGAGTACCTGAAGAGAACCCATACAAATATGGGAAGAACATGCAAACTCTACACAGAAAGGCCCCAGAACTGGAATTGAACTCAGGACGTCCTTGCTGTGAGGCAACAGTGCCAACCAC